GGCGTATTTGTGTACATGAGTATGTCATCACTATGGACGTCCAACAACTTTTTTAACGTTCCATATTTTATTTCTTTCAATTCCATTCTTTTGCACTTTATTAACTCATGACAAATTATAGTTACGATTAAAAATTTTTAACAATACTTACGTACGAAATATTTTACGACGTACAATAAACGTATAGTTTTTATCCATTCTCTAGCGGATATCACTAATACATGTTAGAAAGGTAAAAAATTTAATAACGACCTTGATTGTGACCTTCAATAAACACATAGTCGATAATGTTAAAATATAAATATGCACAACTATAATAGTTTTACTACACATAAATATGTCTATGTATTCTCATTAAAGAAATCTAGTAAATGATAGTTGAAATTAGCCATGTTACATTAGTACATTTAAATAGATTACGAAGAAGTAGATATTTAAGTCCTCAATAATATAGACAAGTCTCTTATAAATAACCGATGACAGAACAATAAAGTTCGTGTGTCACCCATGTGCAAATACTTATTGCAAATGGGAATGCAGCCAGGCAACATTGCATACCAGTCACAAAGTTATGATCCTCGAAGAAATTCCAATGTGTCAGCCCAGTAAACAAGGAGGAAAGGAAGCCTCGGATGCAGTTTGCGGAAAGTAATTTTTTCCCCCGTCGCAAGTTTCTCGTCCCGAGTTGCGGTAGCAGGCGGATCGCCTTTAGGAAATCGCGAAAGCAACGCGTAAAAGCAACACCAACACCACACGATGTCGCTCCGTCTTAATTAGACGTCTCTCTCCGCTGTTTAATTGTCCCGTAATTCGGCCTGTCGAGGACACTCGTTCCTTACCACGATTAATAACATCGTTAAGTGGGCGTTTGTTCCTGGAATCGCTCGCAACATGCCGAATAATTATAGATTCGCCACAGAGGTCTTCGCAACAATTCGAACGCACATTACGAAAGTATCGTTGCAGAAACGAGCGTCTGCTTAGGCGTAGTCGATTCTTTTCAGCTTGAGGATTGACCTTAATTCATCGCGATCGATGGATCGGCTCATAGGACAGTTTATACCTGGCTTAACGTTCTCATCGAGAAACTCCCACGGACCGATAAACGGAAGTGTAATACTTTGACCATTGAACTGAAGCGTAACGCAGCCTTTCCGTTACACGTTTCTGTGTACTTTATTCGCCGGGAAAGACGGATATATGCGGCGTATCTGATCGAGTGTTTAACAAACTTCTCGCTCGTCCTTTCTGCGCTTAAGTGTCTCTAAACCATCGTAAAAATATTACGTAATTTCTTAAAATTTTTTTATCAAAACTGTCAGAGGATAAACCGTTTTTGAAAAGATAAAATAGTGCACTTCATCTTCAGCATTTTAATGACTCAGTCTGTCCATGGAAATTATACGCATGCGTTTAATTATAATTATAAAATCGATCACGAACTATTTATTGATCGCAACCCATGATCAGTAAACAGGTTTGAAAATAACTTCATCATCTACGAGGTTTTTGCTGATTCCGAAGGACGTACTGTGAACACCCTGTATTAGGTGGGAGTATTTAAAACAGTTGTCCGTTGCGTTGGCGAGGGGACACGCTGGAGAAGACTCCACTGGATTTGTGCCAATAAATGCATTTCTTGGCCGTAGTTTCCGCTACTTTTCGTCGCGAACGCACGTTTGGCTCGAGCGGCAATCGAGCGTAAAGGATGAGAACACCGGTTAGCAAACCGTACAACGTAATACTCGTTTCCGTTCTATTTTCAGCAAGCTTCCGAATTCAATTAAAATTTCACCGTGTATCTTTTCATCGTGCGTAGGCAGGAACGTGGAACGGTACTCGCGAGCGAGCAGCAGTCTGCTTCGGCTCTCTTTGTTTCCTAACGAGTAGGTATATACGCGATCTGGGGCGAACGTCGGCGAAAAAAGTTCGCTGCTCCCTTCGAGAATGGGCTCGAGAGTGTTTCTCATATTTCAGTCGTTCGTTGTGACAGCGGCTAGACGGGGCTGAAACATCGGTAGATTCGCGAGTCGGTTTAAATTAGAGAGTCTAGACGCCACGGAAATACCACGTGGTTCGCGTCACACGCACTCGCCATGCTGTCGCTTCCGATTCGAATATTCGCGCCGCGTCGATCATCGACGTCCCATCGAATTCTCTCGAGTTCGAAACAGTTTTACGGAGTGTTTGACCGATAATGCGATTTTACTGTTTCGCGTCGGAGAATTAAAATTCTGCCAACTACTTTCCTCTGCTTTACCTTGAAAATTGGACGTCGTTTCGCTAATTGTCCGCCGGAACTTTTAATTAATCTTGCGCATCGGAATCCGTTAACTACCCAGCACGGTAAATGGGTCTATTAATTGAATCCGTGGCCCTTTTACCGCCTCGAAAATGCTCGAACTCGATTTCGGCCGAAAATTCCGTTCCGACCGAAACGGCGTAATCGAAACGTAAATTGCTTACAAACAATTTTACGCGAAGATATTGGCTTTCGAGATAGAACGAGCCGGTCGAGAGCGTTTAAATGCAACCACTTAATAAGCGTGCACACAAGCACGAGAAAAACCCACAGAGCGTAGGATTACAAAGCACACAATGAGCTATCGTTCTTGAAAGATTTCTGCTGTGTCGCGTGTTCGCGTGACTGTGGTCTACAATTATCATTATACGCGTTCAAAGTCGATCACGAGTGTGACTCGTGGTTGACATTTTTGGAGTATAATGCGCGACGCGAACCGCATTCCATCGCAATCTATAATTTTCTGCGATTAAAGACGCGAAACGGCTACATGTGAAACGCGTAACTCTGATAAGCTTCGAGAATGTTATTGTACGACACGTTTGTTCATTCCCGCGTTCCTATGTGCAATTTCCATTTTTGCAGTTATATGGATAGTAGGTCGATGAAGTTTTCAATTAGCATATTAAACTTTGATTAATCGTTATGGCGGATTGACTGCGACCTACTTACCAACAATAGAATTTTCATGTTATTGCGGCAACGTATCTTCGTTTCGAATTTTTGCAGATATTTTGTTGATAAATGAAGACATTTGTATTGTTAGACGTAATGTACAAAAGTATATAGAAATATAAGAATGCAGCATGCAGGAATATGATAATATTACTCCTGTATGTAGTGCTTGTATGGTACAAATCTAATGGAAATTGTTAACAGTAAATAGTGGAGTACATAAGATTATTAACCTTTTACAAACATAGTTAAAAAAGAACAGAATTTACGATAACAGATTTATCAAAATACAAACAATGATAATAGGTGTCCCATAAAATTCCATTAGACATATCAGATACATGAAAATTTCCTTTCTTAATCACACAAAAGAGTTCGATAATATAAAATTAGATCATACAGCATCGTTTATTCGCCGACTCCGAAAAGAAAAGGAGGGGCGGTGACGACACGAATTAAGCAATTTGACGTTACGGTGGTGCGACGGTAGCCCGGAAGTTAACGAAATACAGAGAGAATATTTATTTGCAGGCGGCGTCAGAGTCTCGTGTAAAATTCATTAATGAAAAATGACGGGTCGTAGGTTCAGTTTTCCCCCGGTCGTTTCGGAGCGTGGCGCGGCATGGCATCGCGTCCCGTGTCGGGTGGTGTTGTTCGGCGTCGCGTGGCGTCG